AGCAATAAGTAATCAACAAGATAATATTAATAATAATAATGATATAATAATAATAATTAATAATTGTTAATTAAGTAAAAAATGTAACGATTTCAGTAACTTAATAACTTAATCTACATACAGCACTCTATTTTTTCTCCGTGCATAAACAGCCATTTGCATTTAGAAAATGCTAATTAAGTGGAATGCAGAGTTGGCGCCGCATGCCAAATATTTGTAGCAGCTGACACCAGTTGGGGGTCAGGAGTACGTGCTGGTTAATTAAGCGGCAATCCAAATGCATTACATGTCCTTCGGCTCAGGTGGAATATCATTTATTAGAGAGAGATAGAGAGAGAGAGAGAAGGAGAGAAAGGCTAAATACTTACATTTACTCAAGCTGGAACAGTTTACGTGACAATAGGGCTTACCCTTAAAGCCATTCGAAAATCAACAACAAAATAAAGACTCCCCTGGGTCGCCTGTCCAACTAACACAATTTTTCACACCTCTTCCTTCCGAAATATCCTTTTTTTTCGTTACTTATATATCTGAACCTTTGACCGGGTCACTAGATTGAAAAAAAATGAAATGGAGTTGCAAAAAATGTGGACATTTTCTTTAGCGCAAGTCATGCATTCCATTTCCTATTTACATTTATCTAACTCTCGCCAAAAAAAAGGAGCCAAAGGAAACGGATTTAATGGAAAACGATGATGCGCCAGGGTTGTTGGCCTCGTCACTGTGGCGCCTGGCAACCCTGGTCGGCGCCACACCAAATTCCACTCCGCATTGCGTTCGGTCCGTTTTTATTGCATGTGATTGCTTAATTTATTTGTATATATTTTAAACATTTTTCTAGATTTTTTAACGGGGTAGCAGAGGGAATATTGGGTTCCTGGTTTTAAATTTATTTCCTCATAATACATTTTGCAATATTCAAACATATTTTACTAGTATTTAATGAAGAAACTAATAATGATAACTAATATTTCTTTAGAAAATTGTTTGCACTAAAACTTTTTAGAAGGCTGCATTACTTTTGGCAATATTCAACTGAGAAAGAAAATTGATATTTTTGTTATTACAGGGTATCTGAGGCCTCGTTTTCTTAAATAGGAACTGTCTTCCTCGTTTTTATTCAGCATTTCTGGTCTTTTGTGCTGACCAAATGGTGCCAACTAGACGCGATGCGCCAAAAATTGTTAAACGTTTGCCAAGTGCAATGTAAATTGGTGGCATTTGTTGGGCAGCACTGCGAATGCGTGATTTGTTTGAGTTCAAAAAGTTAATAGACCGAAAAAGATACAAGCAAATATATATAAGAATATATAAACAAACTTTTTAAATAAATTCTTATAGAAATATTACATTTTTAAATGCATTCCTTTTGAAAAAATTGTAGGAAAAACTGTAACGAATCCACGTAACCATAAATCATTCAATTTAAATCCCTGTAACAAATTCGTATGCACGCGAATCAATTGTTCAATTGTTTCCGTAGGAAAATAAATAAAATATAAGCCGCCCAATGCTGTTAGGGATCCCGGGGAAAATGAAGTGATGGAGGGAGGGAAGGAAATAGGGCGTAGGGACAACAAACAAGTTGGCGGCCATAAATAAATATCGCATAAGCCCAGAGACCAACATAGAATATAAATTTGCACTCTGTTTCTCTATATCTCTCTCTCTTTCTGTGTAGCACAATCAACTTAATTTTTGTAAAAATTCAATTTAAATAATGCCGCGGCTCCATAAAAAAATAATCTCGCATGCGAGTGTCTATCTCTATTTGTGAATTGTGGCAGAACGAATTCAATTGTCTGGATTTGGTTTAAATAACAGATGTTCGTTTTTGCTTTAGAGGGAGGTTTATTATTTAATTTGTCTTCAAAAGGTTTCAGAAGAGCTCTTTATAGAAAATTGTATAGTTTATAATATGTTTAAAAATATATCGAAAGGAATAAATATTATAATTTCAAATCGACGTAATTTATTAAATATTTTTTACTATTAAAAAACGTTTAAAAAATGTAGTTTATTTACTTCTTATGGCTTTAAATATATTTTTGATCTATTAAAAGAAATGTAGTAGAAAGCTGTTGTATAAATATTTTTTAAAAATTTTATAAATTTTGTTCTTTTGCCATTCAAATAGTTTAAATCATTACCCAATTTTAACCTTTCTTTCTAAGCTATTTCCAGTTGCTGAGTTAAATTTAATAAATAGTAGAAATTAGGTTTAATTATAGGATATACATTTATTAAATTATTATACTCGTATTATTGTTTTTCCAATATTTCTTTAAAAAATTCTAACGTCATTTTCTCTCCTTAAATTTATAGTTACATATACTTTTCCTCCTAAGATACTTTCATTAGATGCTGAAAAAATTCTATATTAAATAAATAAATATATATATAATCAACTTGAATATCGTAAAATAGTTTTACAAAATGTTATTTCAAATGCATATTTTATTAAATGAAGACTAATTACTAAATCCTTATAATATTTTCCATTTCCCTCTTTTTCCAGTTTTTTTTTAAAAAATCATTACTTTATTTTCTTTCCTTATTCACTTTATTTCCATGTAATATTTTCCTTACTTTCTGCTAAAATTAAATTGAATTTGCCGCTTGAAATATTTTAATTTCCTTCGGACACGATGCGAGTCCAGCGAAACCTAATAAAATGCCAGAGACACGTACGCACCTCAGACATCCAGAAACGCTGGAGATGATGAACGAAGCAGTGGAACTCCCGAACTGTTGCACTGTCTACTTTTATGTGTCTTGTCCTCCATTCCTGCCACATATGCTGCAATCTCCTGGAGTAAATTGAAGTGACAGTTGGGGCAGAAACGAGTTGTTGCGGAAATTAATTGAATTCCCTTTGGGTATCAAAAGGGGGAGATAATGTTCAAAGTCAGCAGATCATAATTCATTTTTCTTGGAATCCTATCTTGGAATATATATATATCTGATTATGGTTTAATATGAGCTTTAAAAATAAGAAAATAAAATTAAAACATTGCTGATTATTTAATTTAAGACTCCTATTTCTCCCCATTTTCCATGGCATATGTACATATCCCACCCAACACGATTCAGGGCTGCAATTAATTTCTCATTGGCCTGGCGCTCAAACATTTTAATCAAATGACAAAACCGAAAATAATTTATTTTGTGGCACATAACTCACAGAGAACTGGAAGCCGGCGAGCGGTTTATTAAATTTTGTTTGCTCTGGCGCCGAAAACAGGCTTCGTTCGCTGTGGTTATTGGCATTTTCCTTGTTGTCCGCCAGTTGGCAAACTAATAGATTTTAAAAGCGGCTGTCGCTGTCAGCCAACCAAAAGGATGGTAATAGAGCGGGGGCGGGGCGGAAAGCCGAGTTAGGCGACGTGATAAACGCGGCGAAATAAATTGGTCAACTTGCAGTTTGGTTTAACGGGCAGTTTGTTGTGACAGCTGCAAGGCGATAGCCAAAATAAAAAACAACAGGTTGTCGACTCTACAAAGTGATCGATGAATACGTGTAATCAATAAATTCATCAATGACTTTTGGTCCTGGAAGCCGTGATAACTTAAACGAAAGTCACGATCTTGGGTATATAAATGTAAAATGTGATGGGAAATTGAAGAACTTGGAAGCGAAGGAGGAGTTCATTTTAATTTTCAAAATAATTTCAAAATTCTATAAGATAATTTAGTTTAATAATATTTAAAGTTATTCAGTTAATATTTTATTCAAAGGTTTTATTGTATATTCATTCAAGGAAAATCAACGTTTGTGCAAAAATCAATTCAAGGAAAGGCCTTTAGCGTGTTTTTTCTAAATTTCGTTAAGATAAATGATCGAATGGGCAGATTAAAACCCAGTTACAGCTTTAAGCAATTCGAAAACTCTTTAAATCTCTTTAAATATAAAAACAAAGACCAGCTTTTACGATGACCAACTGAGCCATCAATAAGTTCATTTATTTCGCATTACTCACAGACCCCTCTCCATTTTCTCGACTCGTTTCGAATCTTTCCATTGACCGCCTACATGTCTTGCGGTTATTGTGTAATTTGCCATTAAATCGTTGTCAACCACTTAATTGCTCGCTATAAATCTAAAACGCAATTGCTTATCGCTGGTCGGAGCGGAGGACCGAAAAAGCCGGCAATTAAAAGCAAATCAAATGGACTTGTGGCAAGTTTTTCCGCCACAGAAAGTTGTCTTTTTCATTGGGATACGAAATCTTGATGGCAATTTCAGCGACAAAACTCTATTTCTCAGCAGGAGTCTCTGGATTAAGTTCTGGTTTCCATTGTTATGCCAAGCAAATTTCAATTTGCTTTAAACTCCACTAAAGCAACGCTCACACAACGCATCGCCTTCTGCATTTGCATTTTATTTCCAATGGCTGCGTCTCGCAATTTCTTGGCAACTTTTTCGCCCTGCCATTGTTTTTCGGTTTCTCGAGAGGCGAGGCAATTTCACTTTTCAACTTTATTCGAGCGAAAAATTGACGTGGAAATAGTGGGTCGGGAAAAGTGGGGGAAATTCTGTCTGGCATATATCTTCTGGCGGAAAAGGTGTAGAAACTGAAGCAGTTCGAAGCTAGACAGGCGTTAAGGCTTCCAAAACAGACCAACCAAATGTGGACAGGGATTGAGACAATGAATGTTTAGTATGAAAGGCACTATGAAAGTCTTGTAAAGTTAAATACTCCTTAAAGTAAACATTATTTAAAGAATATTTGTTTTAAATTTTAAAATAAATGGATATTTTATTAAAAAAATAACCAAGAAAAAGCTGAGAGAAAACGAACTTTAATTTTAGGAAAAGAATAAAGGTTGTGGAAGAAAGCAGCACTCGAATCTTTTTCTTTGAGATTTTTACATGAATTTAATAAGCATCTCATTTATATGATTAGTTTTATAAAACATATCTTTAAGGTTCACAGCTATTTAATGTTTATCTTCTTAGGCAAACTTTTCCCAAATCCCAAAAACAAAACCCACTTAAATTGTTCGAAATTGTCGTTTGGTTTTATTTACAAATCCTTGGTAGATCGTGCGATTGGTCCAACACGGACCTCATCGGCCTCAGCACAGCAATCTAATTACATAAGCGTACTCTATATAAATCTACTTAACTAGATGGAGGAAATGGAACTGGAGCACCTTTTTCATATATGTCTATAACCTACAATCGCTGAGTGGAGGTGATCAGCCAGGCGACGAAGATGGTGAGACCAAAGCCAAGTCCAGATAGTGCCGCAGCCGAACCCTTAAGTTCAACAGTGTTGCAACCATCCGTGGAGCACTTGTTGCAGTGATCTTCGTTGTCGATCTCGCACTCCAGCTCGCTGGCACATCCTCGGCGCAGAAGGCCATCGTTGTAGGAGGTAACACATCCATCATTTGCCACATAAATGGGGCACACAGCCAAGCTATTCGGTTGGCTGGCGCAATTGGCATCTGCATTGGAGTTGCAAATGTGGCAGCGTCGTCGGTTGTTGGGGAAGATCTCGGCATTGCACTTGGCTCCGGAACACGCGGAACAGGTGCCATTAGCCACACAGTTGTTGCCATCGGTGGTGCTCAAGGCACTCTTGCATCCACGGATGGTATGACCATCCTCCAGGCGAGTGATACAATCGGAGTTGGGGGCGTGACAGGTGACGGTTGCAGTTATAGCCGTGGGATCTTGGGCGCACTCCAATGACCTGCTGGAATCACAGGCCAAGCACTCTCCCTCTCCTGGCAGACGGCTTAGTTCGTTGCACTCACTGCCCTGGCAGGAGTACAGCTGATTGCCCTCCTGCCATTCCTCCAAACTGGAGCTATTCTGGCTACTGGCACAACCCATCAGCTCCACGCCGCCAGCAGATGCATATTTGGCGAAACAGTAGTCATCCGATTTGTAGGCCACACAGGCTTCAGATTGGCTGCTCGAACAAGTCGCGTCCGTGCAGGTGTGGCAACTAAGACGATCGGCGGGATACGAGAAGGTGTTACAGTCGGCTCCGGAGCAGGTGGCACAGTTAGTACCGCTCTCGTCTGTGCTGCAGTCCGAGCGATCGTACAGCTCCTTATCGTCCACACAGGATCGGATCAGGTCCACACCATTAAGAGCCACCAGACACTGGCCCTTGCAACTGCGCTTGGCCAAGTCCGATTCCGTGGGATCGGTGACACAGGACGATCTGTTTGCCGAGTTGCAGAAGGTACAGCTTACGTACTCCTCCGTGGACCAGGCATCGTTACACTCATTCGACTTGCAGGTGAAACAGAGAGCGGGGTTCTGTCGGCAATAGCGATCCTCGTAGTCATCCACATCATCCGAGCAACCTCTCCTCTTCACCGTAACACCATCAGCCGCAAAGACAGTCTTACAGTCCTGTGCGATGTTTAGGGAACATGCCACAGCAGGTCCCAGCGAATTCAGACAATGTTCTCCCACGCAGGTGTGACACTTCAGTGGCAAGTCCTGGTACACTCCATGCTGACCATCATCAACCCGATTGGCCAGATCGATGGCATTGCACTCACTGCCGGAGCAGGTGCGGCAATTGAGGTAATCAGTGGAGTCGCATTCAACGCTGCTGCTGCATCCACGTGTTGTAACATTTCCGGAAAGCCAGGTCTTACAGGTCTCTGTCTCGCTGACCCATGGACAGGCGAGGGTATATCTGGGATCTGATTCACAGCTGTTATCATCGGCCGAGGTGCAGGAATAGCACACTTGACGGTCAGCGGGGAAGACCTTGGATACAGGAAAGATTTTTTATAGATTTGAAAGATCTTAAAAAGGGGTTTTTCGGTTTACTTACCTCGCGGTTGCATCCATCAACGGAACACACCGTGCAGTTGGCATCGGTTTCCAAAAGACAGGCGGCAAATTCAGACTGGCCAAGGTTGTAGAGGCAACCACGGTTGGTGGAACCATCTAAGGAAGAGGGATTACCAATATTTAATTATTTACTTAAGGAAACTGTGTATTTATCTAAACTTACCACTCTCCAATTTGGTGTAGCATCCTGTGTGCGGCAACTGACTGCAGGTTTCGAAGTTTCCAATGGCATGGGCATCAGTGGCGCAGGTTGGATCATCTCGCGAATCGCAGACAGCACATTGCACGGAGGACTGCAGTTGGGGAACATTGCAGTTGGTGCCATTGCAGACAGCAATGCGTTTGGTCTTGATAATGGACTCCAGATCCTGATTGCGGAAGGAGCTGAGGCAGCCAAGTTGCTTGAGATCGTTATCTTCGTCCACCCACAGGAAGCAGCTGTCCTCGGGCTTGTAGACAGCGCAAGTCTGGGGCTGCGGATCCTCGCACTCGTCGCCCTCGCAGGTGTAGCAACTCAGACGATCCTCAGGGACACTGTGGACATTGCAGGAGTCACCGCTGCAGGCGGTGCAGGTAGAATCACTGCCACTGGCACAGGTCAGTTGATCGGCCTCCTCCTTGTCGTCCAAGCAAGTTCGGATAAGATCCAGTCCAGACTCAGAGCTGCCATAGAGAGCAGTCATACATTGTCCCTGGCACTGACGAGTCCTGTGGCTGGTGCTTGTGGGATCCCACAGGCAGGAGGAATCTTTGTAGGAGTCGCAGTAAATGCAAGTGGTGTACTGGCTAAGTGCGGTGGCATTGTTGCAGCTGTTGGACTTGCAAGAAGGACAGCTTCCTGCATTGGAGCCGCAGTACGTTGAAATGGTGGCATCTGATTCGACCTCATCCTGGCAGCCACGTCTGGTGACAGTTCCATCTGCTCCGAAAACGGTCAAACAGTCCTGCTCATTGTTGTTCTGGCACTTGACTGCTGGAATGTCTTCCTCCTGGCATCCAGTTCCTTCGCAGGTAAGACACTCCAAAGGAAGATCCTGCCATTTACCAATGTTGTCATCGGACTTGGCGGCCAAGTCGACCTGATTGCAACCATCACCCTCGCAGTAGACACAGGACTTGGCATTCGCCTCGCAGCTAAGCGAGGAGGAGCAGCTCCTGTAGGTCACTCCGTTCCTCAGATTGGTCACACATTGATCATCTGCTTCGTACAGATAGCAAACGGTAAGGCTATTGGGGTTGGATTCACAGTTGGCGTCCGACTCGGAGTTGCAAACATGGCAGGATCGGCGATTGCTGGGGTACAACTGCTTGTTGCAAGCACTTCCCTGGCAGGAGCTGCACGTGGACGAGGTGCCATTGTAGCACGAGAGGAATTCGTCGTCCTCCAAGCTGGAGAGGCAACCTCTCTCTGTGCTGCCATCGGAAAGGACACGAGAGTAACACTCGGGGAAGCCGCTCAGGACACAATTGGTGGCAGATGTCACACTTGAAGGGCTAATCGCGCAGTTGGCCTCGGTGCGGGAGCTGCACAGGGTGCAGCTTTCGGTTTCTGGCACGGATTCAATGGTGTTGCAATCGTTATTGCTGCAGGTCAGCAATCTCTTGGAACGCTTCAGCAGATAGATATCCTCGTGACTCAGCTCACTTAGGCAGCCCAGCGAAGTTATCGAACTCTCCTCATCGAACTGAATGTAGCACTCATCGTTCTCCCTGTAGTTGGAGCAGCTGCTAGCCTCGGGCTTCTGGCACTCATCACCCTGGCAGACCAAGCAGCTATGGCGACTGGCCACCAAGTCCTCGGAATTACACTTGGCACCCTGGCAAGTGGCACAGAATCTCTTGCTACCGGCTGTGCATGCATCGCGATCCTCCTTTTCCAGGTCATCATAGCAACTACGGATCAGCGCATAGCTGGGATCCTCGGTTTCGTTGAACAGGGGCAGGAAAGCCGAGATACAACGTTCATGGCACTGGCGTGTCTTAGTGATACTCGTGGGATTGCTAACACAGTTCGAGTCCTGACTAGAATCGCAAACAATGCACTCAACATAGTTATCCTGGGAGTCTGCAGTGTTGCAGCCATTGGAGTTGCAGCGTGGACAGGAGGAAGGATTCTCCTCACAGTACGTGGAAGCCTCGAAGACTGGCTCCGAGCAACCTCTTTGGGTAACAGATCCAGTCTCGCCGAAGACGGTCACACAGTTATCATATCCCGTACACGTCTCTAGGGTGCCTCCACCGGAAGCGCAGTCGGTGCCAGAGCAAGTCAGACACCCAATTGGAGTATCTTGCCAGGCTCCAGGCTCGCCGTCCTCGCTGGCCCTTTCAAGGTTAACGGTGTTACAACCATCAGCGGAATTGCAAACGCGGCAAGTTCGAGAATCTGAGGGATCCGAGCAGGTGAGTGAGGAATTGCATCCTCTGTGGGTAATGCCATCCACTAGGGTGGTCACACAGGACTCGAACTGGGAGTAAATGGGGCAAACCGTGCTGGTAAGACTGGTGGCTGGTGAGGCAGCGCAGTTGGGGTCACTGGACGAGTCACACTGATAGCACTTCCTACGATCGGCAGGGAATACGGACAAGCCATTGCAACGTTCACCGGTGCAAGTGTCGCAGAGTTCCCCATCGCCAGTCAGACACTCGTAGAAATCTCCTCCATCCAAGCTGGACAGGCATCCCCGAATGGTATTGCCCTGAGCATCAATCTGGGTCACACACTGGGTGTAGGGCAACTGGGCGCAGATGTCGGTCGAAGTCAACTGATTCGGATTGGTGGCACATCGAGGATCGTCCGTTGATGAGCAATGCAGACAAGAATTGGGATCGGGTGTGATGCTATAGGAGTTACATTTTTGTCCCGAACAGAGAAGGAACCGCTGCTGGGCCACCAGCTCATTGATCACCTGGGTCTCGAAGTCACTGGCACATCCCAGGGCCACCACGTTGGACTCATCATAAGCCAAATAGCATTGATCGTTCTCCCTGTAGGCCACACATTTGGCAGTACCGGGGTCCTCGCAGTAAGGATCCTTACAGACATAACACTCTTGAGGATTGGCGATGACATCATCTCCGTTGCACAGGGATCCAGTGCAGGCTGTGCAATTCGCATGAGTTCCTGCGGCGCAGGAAGTACGTTCCGCTTCATTCAGATCGTCCAAGCAACCGCGAGTGGGCAGCAGAGCGGAGTCCCAAGATGAGCTGCGAGGATACAATCCTGTCATGCACTGACCCTGGCACTTCCTGGTGCTATCAGGCTTCTCCCAGGCACAGTTCGCATCATCTTCGGCATCACAGAAGTAGCAATCGACATAGGCATCCAAGGACACGGCGTTGTTGCAACCATCTGACTTGCACTGCAGACAGCTATCCTTATTCAAATCGCAGTAATCGGTATTGGCAGCCTGGACAGCATCACTGCATCCTCTGGCCACCACTTGTCCCGCCGCATTGAACACCGTTGCGCAGGTCTGCTTGTTGTTACCCTCACACTTGGTGGTTTCCGTGCCAACGGAGGCACAGCTGGTTGCATCTCCGCAAACATGACAGCTCAAGGGGAGATCCGTCCACTTGCCCGGCTCACCAACGTAGCCCGATTGCAGATCCACATCATTGCAGTTGGGTCCGGAGCAAAGTCTGCAACTTCCAGCCTGGGACTCATCGCAATTCAGTTCAGATTGGCAGCCACGACGAGTGCGACCATTGGTCAGAGAAGTGACGCAGACATCGTCCTCGGAGTAGATACGACAATAGCTGGAATAGCTGGAGGGATTCAGGGCACAATCGGAATCGTCGGCAGAATCGCAACGCAGACAGGTCAGCCAGTCCGAGGGGTACACCTCATTGTTGCAATTATTTGTGCTGCAAATGGTGCAGTTGGTGCTGCCTGAGCTGGAACATTCATCGAAGACGTCATCCTCAGTGTTCAAGAGGCAGCCACGCAGCAAAACGCCATCTAGAAACGATTAGAGATCAGTATATCTTGAAGATATAACATGTTGATATATATTTACCCTCGTTCAGATAGCTGTAGCACTCAGGATTGATGTAGTGTTGGCAGACAGTAGCCGAAGCTGTAGTACCAGAGACACAGCCGTCATCGTAAGTGGAATTACAGACATTGCAGGTAACACCATCCAATTTCAGCTTATCCTTGGTGTTACAATCGTCGCCGGAGCAGAGATATAGATCCCTGCGATTGGTGTACAGGAATGTATCCTGCAGATCTGTGACACAGCCCATGGCCTTAATACTGAGATCAGCCACTTGGATATAGCACTGATCTTCGGCCCGATGACCCAAGCAAAGTTGGCTTACAGTCGTTTCACAATCAGAGTCCTGGCAGACATTACAGCTAAGACGATCCTCGGGCACATCAGCAACGTTGCACGAGGCACTCGAGCAGGAAACGCAGTTTTCCAAAGTTCCGGCAGCGCATGCCTCACGATCATCGTACTCAAGATCGTCCAAACAACCACGAGCTAGATCGTAGACAGGATTGGCCTCGGACCGATTGCGGGGATAGAGACCAGTGAAGCAGCTGCTCTGGCATGACAGAGTCCTTGTTATATCTCCCACCTTACGGACGCATTCCGCCTCATCGCTGCCATCACAAAACAGACAATCCACATAGCTGCTCAGTTCCTTGGCATTGTTGCAGCCCGTTGACTTGCAGAACTTGCAATTGCCGGAGTTTTCATCGCAGTATTGGAGAGTCTCCTCATCATCATAGAGAGCATCCGAGCAACCTCGGAAAGTCACGGCACCAGAGGCATCGAAAACTGTGGCACAGTTTTGCTCATCGTTTCCAGTGCACTTGCGAAGAGTGCCCGAGCTCGTTCCCTGGCATTCAGTGCCATTGCAGTGATAGCAGTTGACTGGCGCCGTGGACCACTTGCCCGGATATCCAATGTAGGAGTTGGACAGATCAGCCACATTGCAGTTGGTCTGGGAGCACATGCGACAGTGCTGTTTGTCCGAATCATCGCAGGTGAATTCCCGCTGGCAACCACGGTAGGTCTCACCATCCACCAACTTGGCACTGCAGCCTTCGGTTTCCGAATAGTATGGGCACACCTCTGATGCATCGGGAGCCGAGGAGCAGGTGGGATCGGTCAGGGAGTTGCATCGATGACAACGACGACGATCAGCGGGATATATTTCAACGTTGCAGCGATCGCCCTCGCAAACCTGGCAGGATCCGGTACCGGCGAGGCACTCCTCCAAGTCCTCTCGTTCCAGGCTGCTCAAGCAACTACGCTGGGTGATGCCATCTGGGGAAAGGAAAAGGAGAATTTGCGGTCATTCAATTAACTGGATCTTTAAGAAACTACAATTTAAACTTACTTCTGACGCGGGTCTGACAGCTGGTGTAGGGTAGCACTCCACAGTTTCCTATTAGAGTGATCTTTGAGGGATCCGTAGCACAGTTGGGATCTTCGGAAGAATCGCAGGCGTAGCACTGCGTGGGTGTTGGCAGAATATCGAAGAAGTTGCAGTTGTTGGCCTCGCAGAAGAGTAGAGAATGGAAGTAATCATCGACAAACTCCTCATCCAGATCGGACTTGCAACCCATGGCCGTGATATCAGCATCATAGTTAAACAGGATATAGCAACGATCATCGGGACTGTATTGGCTGCATTGACTGGCCACCGGTTCATCACAATCGGCTCCGGAGCACTTATAGCAGGACTGTGTGATTTCGGAAATGTTTTCCACATTGCAGTTGGCTCCAGAGCAAGCTATGCAAGCACTGTCGGTGCCAGCAACGCAGGTGGCCTGATCCTCCGGCTCCTTGTCATCCAAACATCCTCGAACTGTGTCGTAGATGAAGTTCTCAGTGGATCTGCGGCGAGAGGCAGTCATACATTGGCCATTGCAAAGACGACGGGTCTTAACATTTGCAGCATTTGTGGCACAATCTTCGTTTTCATAATCACAGTAGATGCATTCAGTGTAAGAGTTCAGGGATGTGGCATTGTTGCACTCATTGGAGTTGCAATTGTGACAATTTCCACCATTGGCATCACAGTAGGTGGCCCAGGATTGCTCCACCACCTGACTACAACCCTTGGCAGTCACTGCGCCCTCAGCACTGAACACCGTCACACAGTATTCCGATTCACTGGAGCAGGCAATATTCGATATTTCGGCGGCGGCACAACTTGTGGCATCTGTACAAGTCTGGCAGGTCAGGGGCAAGTCCTGACCCCACAATCCTGGCTGACCATCCTCTAGCCTCTTTAGATTTTCGCTGTTACAATCGGTTCCAGAACAGACCTGACACCTTTTGGGATTAGTGGAGTCACATTCCACTGATGCAGTGCATCCACGTTGGGTATTTCCCGAGAGATCTATGGACGTTATACACTGCTGGTTGGCGGTGTGCAGCAGACATAATGCAGAAGCAGAGGGAGCAGTCTCGCAGGTGGCATCCACACTGGAATCGCAGATCTGGCAGCTTAAACGATCGCTGGGCTGGAGCTGTTATATAAATATGGTTAACTAATGTTCCAATAATGTCAGATATTAAACCCACCTCCTGGTTGCACTTCTCTCCGGTGCACCTGAGACACTTTGTGGTATTACTGTCCTTAAGGCAATCCAGGTAATCGTCACCCTCCAAACTGGTCAGGCAACCCCTCTCTGTGTGTCCATTATCGAGGATCCTTGAATAGCAATCGGTATTCACGAGACTTTCGCAATCAGTTTCCGTGGCAACATCTCCCGGAGCCACAGCACAGTCATCATCCGTACGGGAACTGCACAAAGTGCATTTCTGTGGCTTGGCCAGAGCAGATTCCACATTGCAGTTATCACCGGAGCAGTACCACAATTGCTTGTTGGTTTCCATCAGGGTGACGTCGCTTACGTTGTACTGACTTAGGCAACCCATTTCGTAGATCTTTCCTGACTCATCGAATTCGATGAAGCAGCTCTCGGCATTGTCTCCTGAAGGAACTGCTCTGCAGGTTGTCGACTGCGGACTGCTGCAATCTCCTTGGCAGGAATAACAACTTCCTCGAACACCCAAGTCCACAATATTACAACTGGCTGAGCTACAGGCAACGCAATTTTCCAGAGTTCCTTCAGTGCAAGCCTCCCGATCATCCAGATCCAGATCATCCAAACAGCTGCGAACCAATTCTAAGGGAGCACCCACTTCACTGTTCGTAGGATACAGTGCAGTCACACACTGTTCGTTACATTTCCTCTTCTCAGTCACAAGTTCGGTATCAAAAACACAATTATCATCGCTCTGGGCATCGCAGACAACGCACTCGAGCAAGTTCTCATTGGTTTTCAGGGAATTACAGCCGTGCGATCGACACTCGTAGCAATTATCCCCACTTTCCGAGCAAACTGATTCTAAATTATCGCTGCAACCTCTTTGGGTGACATCGCCATTGCTGTTGAATATAGCCACGCAGCTCTGACCATCGTTGTTCAGACATTTGCGGAGGGCTCCTGATCCTGCCGAGCACTCATCGAGGGTGGAGCACTCATAACAGTTGATGGGACCCGAATGCCAATTGTGGATATAGGCATCTGCAAGGAATTTGTATTTCGAATTACAAATTGTATAAAACCAAAGACCTAACTTGATATCTTCTTTCTTAGAAATACGAACTAATTCCTGACTATCATCTTCCGCATACAACTTTTAAGTCCAAGCAAACTTAAATCTTGAAAGTAATCAAAAACTTCTGCGGAAAATACGTTAATAAATTTATTGTTACTGACAGAAGGCGGCTTGTTACGTATTAAAGTGAGCGGCCTTTATGGGCCGCTGGGTAATCGAATTTCACGTTATTTATGGCTACCGATGTCCGACAGCTGCCGTTACCACATCGACGCGATCTCTTTGCCCATAATCAGCTAATAAATTAATAATTGCTTTGTGATCCATAAAAGAGGCCAATTCAATGCCGATCGTTGGACTTAATCTATAAGGAAGGGTGTGCTTGTATAATGAAAAGGAAAATAAGGGAAAGTTGGAATATTCGAGAAGGTTATCCTTGAAATTTTATTCTTTCTTTTTATAAGGGGTTGTTTGGGTTATTCTTGTTCTTCTTATTCGTGAAATCTAGTATGTTTTGAGGAGAAACAGGACAAATCAAAAGTTCATGCTAGAAATAATACATTTCTCTCAAATTATTAGGTTCATTACCTCATAGCTAAAAATAGATATTGGTTATCAAAACGTGTGGCTTTCAGTCACAAAGTCTAATCTTTTCCTTAACCAAATCCATATAAATCAAGAATGGTGGATTTCCTAGCTACTCAAGAATTTCGATTGAGATTTCTGGAGTTTGGCAACTTGATTAACTCACAAAAAGAGGTACAAATGATTAAGAAATGTACACTTTGACCAGACTGGTTCTTTATGATCAATACAAGTTACACGCTTATGTCTCATCATTGATTATTTTTATTGATAATAGATAGGGTGGTAATATAGACCAAAGGGTGATTTAGACCAAAGGGTAATATAGTCCAATAGACCATATAATAACATGAGTCATGAATGTCGGCGCGATTGTCGGACATAGAGTTCTTTAATTCATTGTCTGACGGGGGAAATACACAATCAGATACTTTCAGTAGATTAGATAGGTTAATCTTCGTTTTTAACACTTTATGTTCATTGTTTTTTATTGTTCATTTGATTTTCCAAAGTACATTTAAAAAAATGATTTTATTTTTAGGGTTGTAGTACATATTGGTGGATTTAGATTTAGTAGATTTAAAGATTTTCGTTACGTAATAAATAAAGTTCTATTTTAAAGTTTTATTTTCACTTTTCAATGTCACTATAATCCTAGATAGTTCCTTTACAGCTTGTTAAGTAAAAACAATCTTTATTTTAGGTTTGATTCTTCAGTTCATTTTTATTTATATAACTTGGAAAGTTTCATTAAATTTTCATAATTTTTACGCATTTGCTTTTGTAATTTCTGGCACTTTCACTGTCTTGTTTACTTTCACTTCACTTTTCATTATCCTTTATCCTGGATCTCCACAAACACCTACCACTTGAGTGATTTAAAACTAGAAGTAGCAAGGCTACTCCTGCTGCCGTTGATTTCATGATCGTTTCTGAGGGCCACTTCAGGGTGGCGACTGTCGCGTATTTCCGTATTAGCCACAAAAATGGATTCCGGCAACTAATTTTTAGCTAGCTGAAGTAAGGCCTTTTATAGATTTTCATGCGGCGACAAGCCACAGCAATCGATCGATCGAGCCAATGAGTCCTCTATCGGTGCTGTTTGATTATTGCTCTATATTAGGGGCCAAAAGCGATTATATTGTAGGCGCTGTTGCCATAGCTATATGGCCGATAAAGCTTCGTTATTTATAACCGTTTGAGGGGAATTAACATAAAAGAACAACAAAAACTATCCAGATAAGCCGACCATAATCAGGCGAAAATGGAGTCGTGAACACGTTTACACCACCGCGATAAGGTTCTCCAACGATGGACACTCAAAATATATGTTGGCTGATTATAGGACTTCAGTCATAAAATGCGGTTAAATGGAGGCCAACAACGCGATTCGTTTTGCTAAAAACCTATTTTTCCCGATTGCATTCATTTGGGCGCAGTTTCTTATCACCACTGCACTGTAATAACTAACAAGGAGAAATGGCTTTAAGCTTACAAAATCGATAGCCCAGTTATTGAAACTCAGTTAATCGATAGTAAAATCTATCATCCAGGTGGCGCTTTCATAAATCGGGGCTGTAAATCACATTGTTGGTTGAAAAACCCCAGATAGAGGTAAATGCTTTTCTTAAGAACTTAATCTTTTAATGTATATTGCTTACTTTTATGGCTTCTCTTTGGACTTTGAACAATCTATTAAACAATGTCATGAAATCAGCTGTAAATGATTTGATATAAATAAATAAATACTTAATTTGAATCATCAAGGAAATACTTTAAAAAGTATCCAACTGCTTTATTGCTTTAAAATAAATTTAGGAAACTAGAATATTCAGACTGAACCTTTCCAATTTCACAATAAAAAATGAGGGAAAACTAAAAATAGAATACAAATAAATCACTTTCCTCTTAAACCTTGATTGACCCCACGATTGCCCAATCATTCCTATTAAATATGACGATTATATAAATAGGATTGCTGGATTTTCGTCATATAATCGTGGCTTATCAGTTTTTAATCGCTGACATAACGCACTGAATTTTGGTGGAAGCATAAAACCCAAAAGATTGCGATTAATCGAGACCAATAATTTATGGTCATATCATAAAAATTACTTTAATAACAGTCGTGCATAGATAGAGAGCTTGGAGAAGGTCGTGGGAATCAAACCTAAAGGTAAATACAAAGTGCCAATTGAGCAAAGATCAGGAATATGGAAACGTGTAAACCCATAGCCATATTAGGTTTGTCCGTCGTAGATGGAATCTCTTCTGTGGTTGAAGGTTCTGTGGGGGATGCGGTGGTATCTGGCGAAGTTGTTGATGTACTGCTAGAAGAATCTGTTGAGGGACTTGAAGAAGAACTGGTAGAAGAACTGGTAGAAGAACTTGTGGATGAACTTGTGGTAGGAGTCGATGTTGGTTCTGTTGCTATCGTTGAATCAGGTGTAGATTCTGAACTTGTTGATTCTGTTGGATCTTCAGTCGTTGGGCTATCATCTGTTTTTACAAGTTGATCATTGCAATGAGGTTGCTCCAAGGGATCACACAAATGACAATCCGGATTGGCCAGGCAATCGATTTGATCTGAAAGTGTCAGAGAACATCCTCTTTCCAAACTATCTCCTGTCAAACTGGCATAGCAAAAACTTCTGCCAGATCTGGCAATAGGACATTGTACAGCTTTCAGGAGTCCAGCAGATTCAGCACACTGTGAATCCTGTGCAAAAGGAAAAATCATTTTAAATGTTGGAAACTTTTGGAAACTTTTATTTTGCTAATGCCTACCTCTGTATTGTTACATTGAAGACAGCTGGCTCTTTTGGAGCCCACATTATTGCACTTTTCGGTCACACAAATCTCGCAATCAATTCCTTTTCCTCGTCCATTTTCCTTGCACTTTTCTCTCCAATCATCTTCTAGACTTTCCAGGCATCCTTGGGCCTGAATGATTCCACCCTGAAAAACACTCACGCAGGCATCTAATTTATCTGAACACTGCTCATCCGCCTCATAACTACTCCTTTGGCAGTTAATACCTCGACAATATATACACTTTTCCGATGCCAAGGCGTAGCTACTCGCAAGAAGCACTGCTAGCAGGAGTTGAGAAAATCTTAAGTTTGACATTGTGGAAGGAACATTTAGCATTGAAAAGCTGTCAATAGCTAACCACCGCTTTATATAAATTCTGGTCACTCAAGACGATATTTCTGATATTTCTTTATAGATAATTGGGTGAAGAGTGTGATTGTTAACTGATTGTCTTTCATCTCTTCAGAAATTGCATAAACAATCCTGTTGTTTTTGCGGGGTTCCCTAAGGCCAGTTGCGCTCAAGTGGCCTGAGTTCTTGTGGGGTAGCTTTCAAAGTGGTTCCTTAGTCAAATGTAAACAAACAAGTTTACATCGTTAATGGAATTTTTGTTATTAACCGGTTATCTACCTAGATTAGACAATGAATTAGTTGAAAGGTATTTTAGATAATTTCGAGAGAGTCTTACTGAAGGTTGTTGTTATTGATCAACTTCGGTGTTATCAATAACATGTGGGTGATTCACAGAAGGACTTTAATGCGAGACTTATTCTTTTTAGATTTAATGTATTAATAATCGAACCTGTTTGTTCTTTAAAATGTGTATTTAAATATTGTCAGAAGGTTATCTGCTTTATTTTATATACTATTTACTTTTACCTAATGTTGTTTCTATGAACTTTCTTTTTGCAATCACTGAGTCACTAAATTCTAATGATATGATAAAAGACTAGGTACACCTGTTTCACAAATTACATAGCAAGCCTTAATTAAAGGTCCAGTGAGCTTTTAAAAATATTATAACACGTTCATCTTGTGGTTTTATATTATTATATATTTACTTATGAAGATTTAAAGTCACATTAAATATCAAAAGAGGAGACTATGTGAAATTAACTCACAAGTTCTTTTTAATTTTTAGATTCATACAGTTTGTTTATTTATTTATAAGTTATTAAACATCTTTATTTTCCACCCATATACAATTACTACAGTTATTTAAGGAAACGAATGAAGCGATTCCCAGCACTAGAGCTCTCAGCGATGTCGGCGGCATTGCAGTTCCTGATATCTCCAGGTGAGCACAGCAGGCAGTTGGCATCATTAAGACAGCTCTGCTGATCGGTTTCGGTGGTGGCGCATCCCCTCGTAATGGATCCACCCGTGGATTTCACATAGCAATAAGAGTTTGGAGCAGTGGGAGCACTGCAACGAGATGCTTCCAAGGCAGCGGCATTCGAAGCGCAATTGGTGTCCTTTTGGGGGATTAAAAATGAAAGGATTAAATATGGTTTATGAAATGGAAACTCTCAACTTACCTTGCTCGAATCGCACTGAATGCAGGCGTATTGGGCTGATCCCACATTATTGCACTCCTTGGTGTTGCACTTGTAGCAAGAGCGGTTATCCTGGCATTTCGAACGCAGCTCATAGGGAATTTCCAGGGAACAACCCTTGAACAAGACCTTAGCTGGAATATTGTTAGTCATAGATATCATCATATATCATTCAAATCTACATTTTAGCCCACCTTCATCATAGATAGTAACACAATAGTCCAAGGAATCCACACATGACTGCGTTTTGGTCGACTGCACCCTTTGGCAGTTGGCTCCTTCGCAACTGTGGCAACTGATTACCGTGTTGCCGGCCACATGACCCACCGAAACCATCAGCACCACAGCACTCAACACCTTGGCAATTGTTTGGGCCTTCATTTTTTTGCTTCGACTGTCGGGCAATTGGCCAATGCGATCGGCTTTTATACCACCAGCCACTTCAAATGCTCCACTGGAGTGTCCTCGACAGCGGTTGCTGTCAGTGTGTGTGTTTGTGTGTGTGCGTTTGTCCATGGAAATGGCCAAACACTTGACAGTGTTCTATGGAGAGCCGACAGCTGAGGGCAGTCGAATATGTACTGCGAAAGATAATACGAGTTACTCATCCGCTCCATGGCTTAAGCTTACTGGGAATTTGAGATAATGAAAATAGTTTAATAACAGAAGAAAAACAGTTTAAAGCCCATAAGGTGAGTGGTTGGAAAAGCTCTGAGTTACATTTTTTATACCCGTTACTCAGTGTGTAAAAGGGTATATTAGATTCGTTGAAAAGATTGTAACAGGCAGAAGGAAGCGGAACAATATTTCGCTATTTATGAAGAAATTTAGGTTATAAGGCCTTACATGGTTTGTGACGTCACTATCAGTTACATGCTTTCTCTGACAATAGGTGTCGCTTTGCTAATTTCCACTAGCAAAATGAATATTTTAAAATTGTGTAAAACAGTAACGGGTATCTTATAGTCGACTATAGCGTTTTTTCTTGTTTGAAATACTTTTAATAGTGTTTTTATACTTCAATATAACTTTGCAAATGTGTGAAAATTTGTATCTATGTTGTGATATGTGAAATATTCTGCAAATATGCCAAGCCCTGATCCACATTAACATAATATCCGAAATAAAACTTTGATAACTTTGTTGGATTTTATAACTTTTTTTAAACAAGGATAACCAAAGCTTAGTTACTATTACTATTAACATTTATTGGTAGTGCTTAAATCAGTGTTAAATACGAGTATAAAGTAAAGTGTCTCTATATTTCTCCCCGCCACTGTATTTTGCAGCCTTATTTAAGTGCCCTCTAAAATGTCGGCCAAAGAATTCCCCCTGTGATTGAACTGTGGTTTTATTCCAATAATCACATGCTAGTTAATTGACGGACCGAACAAAAAATAAACACAAACCAAAAAGCCGATAAGCTAAAAACAAAACATTTCTCAAGCAGGTGTTCATTTTTTATTTTTGTTTATTTATTTTAAAGTTTAATTTAGTAATTTCAGGAGGAGGAAGGCAAGGAAAGCCATTCCTAGACTTAAAAGCCTTTGATCAGCTCCTGATTTGGATCCCAATTCCAAATCGAAATTATTGCAGGCCACGGAATCACTGGAGTTGTCTGGCAGACAGAGGGAGCATTCCGAGTCTTCTAGACAGGATTTTTGCTCTTTCACTGAGAGAGCACAACCTCTTTGTAGGTTATCCTTCTGATTACCAACGACCTTGACATAGCAGTAGGAGTTGGCCGAGGTGGGAAGGCCACATTGGGAGGCGGTTAGTGAGGAGGTGGCACCCTTGTTACAGGCATCAGACTGCAGCAGAGAAGGAAATTGATAATGTTTAAAGTTGTTATTTGAAAATATTCGTAATTTACTTCAGAACCAATGCATTGAATGCACTTAAAGTCCCTGCGTCCTTGATTATTGCACAATTGGCCACTGCACTTTTGACATTGATCGTCCTTGGCCGCACACTTGGCCTGACCAGCCAAAGAAATCTGCTCATAACAGCCCCTCTCACTGACAGCAACTAGAAGGGAATTATGCTTAATAAAGTTACATTTTATTGATCAACTTTGGACTTACAATCCTCATAAATGGTGACGCAGACATCCAGTTTATCAGAACAGCTAACAGTGGCATTCTGTAGGGTTGTTCTCAAGCAGTTTATGCCCTCACAGCTATAGCATTTGGGCAGATCAGCTGAATTTTGCACTTCAGGGGAAATTTCCCCAGAAATCCCTTGAACAGCCAGCAAAGTAGCCAGCAAAATAAAAAAGCAACCCGATTTCAGCATTTTCTTAGAGCCTCCAACACCTTTGGGCAACCGAACCAAACTAAAACTAAGCTGCAACTAATTTGATGAAAATCGGAAAAAAACCCACAATTGTTTTGCGACACTTGAGAAAATTCACATTAATCAGTCAACAGACTGATAACGAAATTACAATGCAGTACTTGTTGTGCTAAGCAACTTCAAGATGTTCCCCATAGATTAGTGTAGAGTATTCCTCGCCGGACTTATATCACGATTTATTTGCTTGGCCATTGAAGAATCTTATCTGGCCTTTGGCTGACAAATGGCTAAAATGTAAACTTATGTTTTTGGGTTCTCTTTTTTTGCAGTGACTCATTAGGATTTTCTTTTAATTAACCATTATTTATTAGCATTCGTTTTGATTTGTATTATTATTATTTTTCGTCGTTTTCTTATCGAACATTTTTTGAGTTTTTAAGACTCTGAAAGGTCTTTAAATTGCCCATCGCCGGTCATTTTGGGAATTTATTTTCCCTCCACTTATCTATAACTTATCAGCTCTGGATCGTTGTGAGTTATGGCAATCAATTTTTATGACACACTGGCTCTTAATCGAAGTGTGCAAAAGATACGAGCCAGTAAGACATTCGTGGTTGTTAATTGAATGGTGTCATTTGACTTTGACTTCCTTAGTTCAACATTTATTTATGCTTTAAAGTAGTTAAACTAAAAACTAAATCTAGCTTTTAAACATACTAATACTGATTTCTTAACGTTAGTAAAGTAAAGTAGGAAACCTCTTTAAGGCCGAGGTCAAACTTCTCGTTGGCCTGGCAAATTAAAGCACAGCTGTACTTATTTGCATACATTTACAACAGATTTTCCCTTACAACCAACACGAGGGGATTACGTTACACAATCTACGGAAAAGGAGGAGGGCGGGAAAACCCCGAAATGGAAAAGGAAAGGAAAATAATACAAACATAACAAAGAAATATGCAAAGCAGATGAATTGGGGATAAAAATGCGTGAAGGAAAATAAAAATGTAGAAAAGCGTGAAAACTGAAATCGTTACACCAAAATTGGGAGCTTACTTTGGGGGCGAGAGAAAAGTTTTTAGCCTTGGTAATAGGAAAAGGCGAGTGACACAAAGGAAAATGAGAGTGGCTCAATATTCTTCCGTCTTGCGGATTATTTCAAGAAAAATAAGAAGTTTTTGGGGACAATAGGTGTATATAAAATGATCTTATAGATAATCGTATTTTAAGCAACTTTTTGAACATTTTTTAATATAAAATCTTAGTTTAAAAACGCCCCTCTAACTCTTATCCCCGTTTCTTTTACCACCTGCCTTAGGCACCACTTGCTTATCGGGAATGATGCGAAATAACCCCCTGGGTCCACCATCCACAACTTCAACCTCTCGCTCCAGACACTTGATCCTCTCCACTCGCGCCATGCTGAGATATCCTTTACCTCCGCTTACAACGAAGTGGAACTCATCGAGTCCTGCACAGGCGGCGGCATAGACGCCACGTCGATTGACCACCACCACGGCTCCATTGAATTCCGTATTGTGTTTTAGCAGCCGTTGCACCACCCACTCGGCGGCCTGGTGCGGGCTCTTACCCGTTCTTAGTGCCTCGACGGCCAGGAAGGCAGGAAGGTGTCGCATGAGGACATCGCCATCACCACTGGCCACGGCGCCACCAACTTCATTATCCGCGTAAATCCCAGCGCCTGGCACTGCCGAATCACCTACTCTGCCGGGAATTCGAAATTGAGCACCAGTCGATTGGCTGGCCACGTGGAATTTGCCCTCCTCATCCAGGGCTAGTAGGGCCAGCTGATCATGTTGACCCTGGACGATGGGGTATTCCGGATGCATCGGCTGCTGATGCATATGCTGGGGTAAGGGTAAATAGGGACCACAGTTCTCCGTTGGCGATGGGTGAACATCCCGCCAGAAATTCGGTTGACATTCATTCGATTTCCACTGTTCCAGAAATTTCTCTGCGTGCACATTCGAGTAATCCTCTTTGTAGCCCATGGATCGGCCGAATCTCGTTGCACTCTTACCCACTAGGAGAGTATGTTTCGTATATCGTAAAACTGCATCTGCAACGAGAATAGCATTCCGAACTCCCTCTATTCCGGCAACTGCACCGTATCGTAAACCATCGCCATCCATTATGGCAGCCTCCAGGGTTAACTTTCCCTCCGAATCTGGAGCTGATCCTCCTCCGAAATGGCCACCGCATCGGGGATTTTGACAGGCCAGGCATCCCTGAATCACTGCCTGACGAGTCCGGCGAGGTCCTTGTCGCAAAACACTCCATGCCTGCAGATTGGCATCCGTATAGTTCCATGTACTGATCAACAGTGGTTGTATGTTTGTCTTCTTGGTTCCAAATATTCTGAACTTTCCCTTTGTAGTTTTGAAGTTCCGGAAGTATTTGAGGGACTTTCCTTGAGTGCGGCAGGGTGACTCAAATAGTTGCAGGAGAATCAGCAGTTGAAGGCAAAAACTCCGCACCAACATACTCCGAGCAGAACTTATTCATGACTGAAATAGTTTCGACCATCGGCAAGTGTTAGTTTTAAAATGTGTTTGGGTAATTGACTTGAGTCATAACAGTCTTTCTTAATAGTGATTAATGTTGTTAATTGGATTGCAAGAGACAGCGAGCTGAACATTCAAACACTTGACTTAATTTAAAAGCTTTTAAGTGACAAATGAGTATACAAAGTTATAAGGAAAACAGACTTTAAAGTGTAGACTTTAACTTTCTATACTATTTATAAAGAAGAATACGTATTTAAGAGATGTCACTGCTATTAGGCCTAACATGGGCTGTGATGTCGCCATCAGTTGCTCAATAGGCATTTTCTGAGAAATAGGTGGCGCTATGTGAATTTACACTAAAAAATTAATATTTTAAAATTATATAAAGCAGTAACGGGTATCTTATAGTCGCTATAATTTTTGTTTTACTTGAATTAAAGTACTTGCAAAAATAAATTTATTGTTTTTAGAAAAATATGGAAAATTGACCAGCTTTTAATAAATATTTAATAAATCCAAGTTAGTCCATATTCAAACTAATTGCAAAATACAAAAAACCACAAATGACAACAAAATGCAAAGAATATTTACCAAGAGCAAGCCGTAAAATCTATGAATTAGCAAAACAAGGACTTTACACCTCCCCAGATACGTAGCAGGCTGATAGCTGAGATACATTTTGATTTATTTACTACAAACAATTTGCAAGTATTTATCCTATTCATGCATTGTCAACAAGCAAAATATCTGCCAGACAAACTCATAAGATACAATATTTGTTATGCATCGAACTTTGTCTATATACATTTATGGGTGTTTGTTTGTTTTCCAGATTGTGTGTGTGTGTGTGTGTGTGTGTGTACTTGTGGTGGTGTGTTCGTAAATATCTGATGAAAACAAAACTTTTGTTTCAATTGTCTGTGAAAATGGGGGAAAACAACTGCCAATAATTGGTTGAGGTTGTCGACATTGCCTCTCATTCTCAGTGCAAATGGGGAAAAGCTGGAAAAATATTTCAGCGTTGATTTTCTGATTTGGGGAGAGATTTGATTTCTTCACATTTAAATTAAATTGTTTGAATTTAAGAAGAAATTAAAATTGTATAAAATATTAATCAAAATTGAGTAGGAAAATGTAAAAAGTTGGCGCAATTTTGCGGGTTTTAACAAATTCAAACGCCATTTAAAAAAGGCATAAAGTTTTATTTTACCCTTCCTTAAAAAATTTGAAAAAATTATTAATAATTTTATAACAATACTGAATATTTAATAAAAGATTTTAAAACTAACCTTGAATAATATCAAAGATATTTATTATATATTTATAATATATATTCATGACAGCCACTGTCAAAGATTCTGTTTAGTTTTTGGCCTAAATAATTTACTGTTGATTGGAAATGGGCCTACGAAAATATTGCTCCCACTGCTATTGTACGGTACCACCACCCCCTTTCCACTTATCAAAAATGCTGTTTTTCTCACAATTCACTTCAATCATGTTGGCCATATGTATTGACTGCTGATTGATTGATGGAGCCCAGCCAATGGTTAGTTGTTAGAGCCGAAAATTGCATAAATCCTTGGCGCCCGGCTTTCGATTTCCTTTTGGCCCACGTCATTTTGGCCTGCGGTCCGCTTGCTCTCCATCTCACTCACTCCTTAGCTCTTCTCACTCGCACACTCGTGTAATTGCGTTTATTGTGCGTTTGAGATTTGTAATTCGATGGCTGGCGCATCAGTATTTGTGTTTCTATCTGTCTCTATAGGCTGTCATGTGTGTGTGTGTTTTCGCCAGTTTGGGTTTGGTTTTGGCCGTGTTGATTGAAAATGGCTTAAGTAATCGACAGTTGATTGGCTGATTTGATTGCTGGTGTTGTAGTTCGGTTGTCACTGAATATTGTTCGGCGTTCGAATTGCGTTTTGGCATTTGCGAATTGTGGCAATCGCTAGACCGTCTATTAATGCGACTGGGAATTGAGGATTGGCGTGAGTGTTAGAAGATGCTTAAACAATTATGGGTAATACACTGAAAATATATCCTTAACAAGCTTAAATTTTGAATATTTAGATCGTATAATGGGTATTAATGGGTATTAATGGGTATTCAAATCACTAATAAGGATGTCTAACAGTATACAACAATTTATTTTCAGATTTTAGGTTAATTTTAGGCAACCATTTTTGTTGCATATCATTAGGCACCTTCTAAAGTGACATAAAAGTACTTACATAATAGTGCTTATTCTAAATACAAAATATAATAGTAGTTCTAAATAGTTTCTATATATTTATATAAGTATTAATAACGAGTAAGGCCTGTGCTTTCCTAGGATAAGTAGAGTAAAATACATAAAAGAAACTGCCTTTGATTTTCTGCTACCTTTCCCTATTCTTTTTATTTTCTTATTAATAAATATTTTTTATGTATAATACCCCTTTTAAGCGTAAAAGAAATTATGTGGTCTGTCTGTCTGTCTTCCTCCCTAAAAATAAAACAAAATTCTTAACATTAAGTAACCAAGTTTATTCCCCCAATTCATTTGCTTGGCAAACCTTTGATTTGGTTTTACTAACCGCAAACTACTTTCAAAAATTAGCAGATTGACAGCGCCACATCCTTTCACTTCCTTCGCCGTCTTCACTTAAACCTCCAGCCCAAGTTTTCTATGTCAGGTACAGTCTTTGAGTCTGAACCCTGACCCAGATTCCCCACCTTGCCCCCCACCAAAGCCCTCGAAAAACCCCACCCAAAGAACCCAACCGTCTGCAGAGGCTCTTGAGCGGCTAAATAAGCTTGCTGGCGGCTACAAACACTTTTGCGCCTGGACGCAGCCAAAAGCACCACTTTGTGTCGAGCGGTTTGGCGGTGGGGTGGCATGGGTTAAGTTTGCTATGTGTGTGTGTAGCAAAACGTAAATAACTTGCCAAAGCAAAAAGCAAACAAACAAAACAGCCAGAAGGAGGAAAAAGGCTGAAGCTGAGGGAAAACGCAAAGGCAGAAGCTGAGGCAAACCGAGCCAAAGAAACGTAAAATGCCGCAAAATGGCGGAAAAAGAAAACGAAAAGAAAATCCACTTCTCCAGTAAAAAGTTCTTCGCATTATTGCTGTTGTTGCCACTGATGCATGTGCTGCTTGGTCCTCCGTACCTGCTACCCCATTCCACTTTCCATTTACCCATTCACCTGTTACCTTTGCTCTTGCCAAAATGCCACCATTAGTTGACCTGAAAATGGCTTCAAGTGGCGCTCAACTCTTCTCTCTTAGTGGCTTCCACATGCACTCCAATATTTAACATAAACAAATATAAGCGAACTACTTCAGCGGTTGTCTTGTCGGAGATATCTCCGTCCAGTTGGAAAACTGGGGGTTAGTAAAACGCTTTTCTTTAAGAGTACTAATAAAATATTAACATTTATACTTAATACTCAGGTGATTACTTAAAGAAACTTATTGGCTACTCTGTTTTCTTAAACTAAAATCATAAAAACTTTATCTAAATTGCAAAGCGTCTACCGGTTACCAAACTGGATTAATAAAGGCAACATTCCACACAGCCTGTCTAATCAAATGACCACGAATAGACGACTACTCTTAATCAAGATGAGATCCCCCATCAAGGAAACCAGTATCAGCGGACACCCAAAGAGAGTTAGTAGGAGATTTTTCTAGTTGTCAAACCCTTGGGTGGGCAATTTTAAGCAGAACGCGACATCGAGCAATCAAAACTGCCATGATTAATGTCAGCACAATTGACATAAAGCATTGGCCATGGCCAAGAGTGGAAACCGCCGAGGGCCATTCAGCGGCCAACTGGAAAAACTCGAACCTCGGAGAGCCAAGAGCCAGCAGACCCGATCCCGGCCAACTGGAGGATGCAATTATTGATGGATTATTTACTGTCAGCACTGTCCGTTATGACAATGAGATATGGCCACAGGCCCTGGATGTCTGTCTGGAGAATGTCTGCAGCCAATGACATCGACTAGACTAGAGCCACCATCATCCGAACGAGTAGTTTGCTGCCCTCCAGCCGGAGTCATTGAATCTTAGCTCCTTTCGGCATCTATCGCATCCCTGACTTTGCAATTTATGGCCCGCAATTATCTGAAGTGTGTGTGCGGATCATTAGTATTCGATAAATTCAATATAGCCAACATTGCATTGATGCATTAATTGCGCGTAATCATCTTTCATATAAATAATCAAACAACAAAGGCCATGGAACGTAACTTCTACACAGAAAATAATTATTATTAAAATCTTAAAGATTTAGAAAGATTTAATATGAAGCCAAGCTTATGTATCACCCTAAAATCATTTTAAAAATATGTTCTTTCATTTATATCAACAAGGAAATTTCATATATGGAAAAAATCATTCTATATCTTCTTTTCTTCCACTGCAGAACTGTGTGTGTTCCAAGAAGGAAGCCAAAGTCAAAGTCAAGCGCCGGCGACGCCTTCGTTCATTTACATATTTCGTGTAATTATGCGGGGAAATTACAACGGGAGCGATGGGCCACCGACCATCATCGTCGAAATAATCATCATCGTCCTCACAATCCACAATCCGTCGCATAACTTCTTGTCATGGCCCTGAGACTTTGGCTGCCAGTCGGACGCAGACATTTGCCGTTAATTATGTTGACAGCATTGACAGCTGCGCTGGGGATCGCGATTGGGATAGAGAACGGGAATATACGAGTATACTATAAAGAGGGAGTGGCAGCGGAGGGACCACCAGCTATGTTTTGTCAATCGATAAACGTTTAATCGGCTTGAATTGATAATAGCCCAAAACTGCCCATTATGACAGCGCTGATGTCCCGTCTAATGGATAATTTGTGTTTCGGCCAACTTTTGATTTGGCCGCTCTATCACATTTCAAATGCAAAACGTCAAATCGCAGCGGAAATGAAGACCAAAAAGTTATGCTTCTTTGGCTCCCGATGATTTGAGCAATTTCCATAAATT